TGGTTTGAAAAATGCCCCTTCAGAATTCCAAAAAATTATGAATGATATTTTCAACCCCTATCTTAAACTTCATGCAAAGTTTCAAATAAATTGGAACGGGGGAATAACTTTTATATCAATTAGGTTCCAACAATTTATATCATTACCGATAAAATGAGGATGTTAAGAGTAGATAATTTCTAAAATAAAAAATATTATATATTTTTTTTTTTGGATAGACTAAAAAGTAAATTATTATATAAAATAGGACGAGGAGTAGGACTAATATTCTATTAGTTTTAAAATTCTTAAATTTCATTAACAATTCAATAAATATGCACTTCACATGAGTTATGTTAAAAAATTGACCAACAACAATATGGGGTCTAAGGAGGATAATGTGTACGCAGACCTTATCTCTATCCTATGGGTAGAGAGATTATTTCCGATAGACCCTCAACTTAGTAAAAAAATATTTTTCAACAGATTGAACAAGAAAATAATAATAATAAGCCCTGTTAAAAATACTGAAGATAAAATCTTAACAACAATAAAATAACAAAATACTAAGAAAATTGAAGCAAGGAGAACAACAGGTAATAATGAAAATTGAGCGATAAGAAAATACGAGAACGATAATAATAATAATAATAATAATAATAATAATAATAATAATAATAATAATAATAATAATAATAATAATAATAATAATAATACCGAAAATGTAAAAAGATTGAGCAACTTTACTAATTGGCAAACAAACGTTCTTTTTTTCATGTGGTGGTGAACAATTTTACTAACAACTGCTCTCTATAGACTTTTCTCCTTGTTCGGCACAGCAAAACTGAAAGCCTAGGAGATATACAAAGGGCGCATTCGAATGATTCCACCACTCCTGCGCACGTTAGCAAAAGGCTCCATTGTCCTTATTGGTGGATCCATCACTATCTCTGCACTCACCACTTCAATCCTTCGCCGTAAAGCCTTAATTAACAAGGTAAGTTATTGGTTTTTTCCTTTTTCTTTTGATAATATATTTTCTGTGTTTCAGAAAATCAAGATTTTCATATTTTTGTGTGGCATTATTATATGTGCAGGAAAAGTTGGGGAAGTTTTGTGGGTGTTGTAAAGGAAAGGGATTTTATATATGTAAGCTGTGCAAGGGAAATGGTACAATAAGGTGGTCTCCACTGTATGATCCTGTGTTTATAAATCCATGTGTTTGTCCTACTTGCGATGGTCACAAGTGAGTTGCCTGAATTAATTCAATTTTAATCTGCATATACAAATGTGAACTGTAAAAGTTTTAATTTTTTTGTTAAATTTTGTAGGGTACAGCGATGTCTCAATTGTTTGGGAGATGGACGGGTAGTATAATTTAGAGTAAAAGGCATTCCATGAAATGCACTCTACCTGTTCGATATAAAGACTATGCCAACATTGGTTTCCAAAGGCAGAAGCAATTTTATCTTTGCCTTAAAAATGTGTGATTCTTTTAACAAAAAAAAGTTATGTATTGTCTTTTAGTTGCTATCTATATCACACCTCTAGGGGTGTACGTTGTGTGAATGCATGATGCTTTGTGCAATGAAGCTAGGGGGAATCAGGGTCATTTCTGGTGCTGATTCCTGAAATTGAACGAGTAAAGTAGTGCCACGAATAAATGGAGCAAAAAAAGAAGCAAGGGGAGTTGTTCTCATTTGTCTGCTGCTCGGAGGCAAGGCTTTTTTATGGATCCAAATTGGGGTGTAGGATTGATGATGATAATGTCATTGATGTTTAAATTCTACCTTTTCCTAATCAAAAAATATAGGTGTCGTTGGCATTTTTAATGTTTATATGTATGTGACCAAGAGTTGAACGTTATTCTGGAGGAACAATCCCATAGTAGGGTTTGCGCTTGTTATGAACACAAATGAGTATTTCATCGAATTTTATTAAAAGCTGCTTAAATACGAATCAATCTTAGGGATGATATGGAATATCAAAGCTATTACTGTGCTAGAGCTCTCCACGAGTGCAGTGAGAATGAAGGGCGCTTTCAGTGGCGAGACTGAATGCGATGCATCAACCTAAGACTTTTACCAGAAAGAGAGCCAATCGGGTCACTTGGTTGGGAGTAGAGTGGAGATGTCATTTTGAAGTGTGGAGTCAGAGAGATGAGAAAACTAATCTTCTTATGACATGTTTACAAAGGGGTTACGTTATACAAGTCTAATTACCTACTCTTCCCGTGGCATACGCACCATTTAGGGGTCATTTGGTTTAGAAAAGATTGTAATGTAGAGATTAGTTCCTGTTAAATGTTTGCCTTGATACATTATTAATTTGTACACAATGTGTAACTTATCGTTTGACACATTACACGTTAATATACAATATATAACTTAAAATATATCTTTAGTTTTTACACAAAATAAAAGCTTGTTTACTGTTATGAGGTTTAGGTCTATCATTTTAGTGTTCTTAATCCATCTATTATTAACACCCACATTCTTATTCAGCAACCTATAATACATAGATTTTTGAATAACTTAAAGCAAGATATCATTTACAACAGAGATTCAACCTCCTCGCTACACCAACCATGGTGTCAGCTTCGGTCACCACTTATCTCCTGTCAAATATTGAGCCTACATAATGACTGCGTTTTTTGGCTATATCTTTAAAATAACTTATATGCCAATTGATTGGTAACTCCAATAAAGCCTTGAGCTATATAACCCTAACGCCTGGCTAGCTACTCTTTGGAAATCACTTCTTCGCCATCTGAGCATTTGACACACTACGCTTGAAATTCCATGTTTTAATAAGCAAAGGACCTACTATACTAGTGAGTAGTGACTAGTGTGTCCCCAATAACATAAACCTACTCGTTAAATTAGCAAGAGATTCAACCTTACTAGTGTTCATTAGTGCATACCCTGTGAACGTGCAAGATTAGATCATTCTGCCCATGCGCAAGTGACTATTGCAAAAGGATGGAAACATCATGAATGAATTGACGAAAAAACTAAGCCACCATAATACAGCAAAATTTAGGTTTCCAAGGAAAATTAACTTCAGGTTACAAAAAAGCCAGGAGACAAATCACCACTACATTGACTCCCAGTAAAACTAGCTGTTCACTAAAACCTGTAAGAAGCTTTAGCTCTGATGTGCTTGAAGAAGATCAAAACTGCATTATTGTAGCTATTTTACAGTCATCGCTTTAGGCAGAGGAAACACAACCCCATCCCTGCCCCTATCTACCTTCAAAAGTTATAATAAGGAGTACAAGTAACAAAAATAGGAAAATCTTGATAATACCACTAGATGACAGCCTAGTCATGATACGAAACTCAACCTCTTCCTCCTGCTAAAATCTTTTTTCTTCCACCTGATAAATATAGAAAAATTTTCAGACATGACCAACTTCAACTCAGCTCTGTACTATTTAAAGGACTCCTATCTGACAAGTCTTTTAGCATCACTATACAATCATTAGAAGCTATACAAATGCACAGGCAGTGCCTGGTAAGAGGTGAATGAGGAAAATCTGGATTCTGAACTGCTATCAACTACTGGATGCACACTGCGAAAATAAAACTACTCAGTTCTTGCACGTTTTGACTGTGTTTGCTTCATCCAATCAAGGCACTCTTCAGCAGTACCAGAAGGATGTGCGAGCTGCCACTCCAGCAATTTTTGTTGCTGCAGAGGAAAATTAAACGATGAGTAAATACTTCAAACTAATTAACTGCTGGCTAAGAAAAGAGAATTATTGGCATACCCATTCTCTAACAACTGGCCCTCCACTTTCAATCTGCAAAATGTTCATAATTTCCTTTCCATTAACCAAAGGTTTCAATTCCCAAACCTTTTCCAGACCTGGAATTTAAGGTAAGATCATAGGTTACAAATATATATGGGATCTGAATACAAAAGAATTTGCAACCGGCAGGGTTGGGTACTTGGGTTATTTTTATTTTTAGTGGCTGTGCAGCGGCCAGGTTCCGGGGCTAAACAGAGAAACGAGGCAGGAGCAATTATAGTGAAAAAATTAAAATATAAAAGGGAGACAATCATTTTGCAGGGGCATCCTCCCTCTACCTAGCATTGCTACTGTAACCTCACATATCTTAAATTAAATGCTCAATAGAAGCACAGAGGACATGATTGAGTCGTCCCATTTCACATTGCAAGGGGAACAACATAATAGAAGCACAGAGGACAAATGATGATACCTAGCGCTCCCACTGCATTCTCTACTGACTTGAATAATCCACTTCTCTTGTCCAGTTCAAAGTTCTCCTTTGAGAAGCTTGTAGAGGACACAATGTCAACGGGATGTAATTGCATAGATAGAAGAAGAGCAACGCGCCAAAATTGTTTAATTTCTCGAAGTAGCAGTCCTGTTTGTGAACAAAAGTTAACCATCAATTTGCAAGATGACACTAAGAAATAGAAAACTCGTCTTGCAGAAGAAAGATATTGTTACCAGCCAATATTCTAAGTTTTGAAGCAATTGGAACCTCAATGGTATCTTTCCAATCAACTTCTAGAACTTTGATATCTTCTTTAGAAACAAGTGATGGAATTAAGGTGACAAACTTCTTGGTTGCAGCATGCAAGCTTATGACCTGCAAATGTATATTAACTTGGTGAACATCAAATTTCTTGTGGTAAATAGTGGTAATAAAAAAATAGGCTTAAGATTCAAGGCTCAATAACAAATGCATGAAACATATAGTAGGCACATAAAGAATCACTCACTGTTTCCGCATCACTGGCCTTCAACTTGAGAGAATTGCGAAAAAAATAGTTGACAACTGGAATCTGATAAGTGTCAGCCAATGTAAGTAATTATACACAATAAACCCCAAATCCTCAAGGAGCTCCTGTGCAGATAATATCAAATTCACAGTAACTACATAAAAAGGAGCATCTTTAGGCAGTTCTTTTCTTCTGCTTAGAAACTAAATGTCGACTAACGCCAATCATAAGCAAAACACGTCCATGGAATCATAAGCAAAACTGTTCAATCCACATAAGAGATGCAGAATAGAATTGACCAAACAACATAACAGATTGCATGGACTCTTTGATGGTCCAGAGCTCTACCTTTTTGGCTTTGTTATCTCTATAAATGGTCTCTCTGAATGGCAGAAATAAAGCAGCATACAGGCAAAGTCTCCTTTGATCAACCTAAATTAAAAATTGATATGAAAAGGTTAGTGTAAATTAGCGTATACACAGAAGCCATTTGACATCTGACACAGCAAGTTTATGGAACGTCTTCTTTTTTTGGATAATTTGGATCATCACACCACAATGAGGATTGTTATCAATAATATGTGATTGCCAATCATCATAGAAAAATCAGAAATGAGAAGAACCGACAACTGTCAAAAACATGAGATGAGAAGTTGAAGAAAGACCCCTATACTCCATCTAGTTTGTAAAATGAACAGGACATAAATATTGAGCACCTGTTTTATGCATTAGAACCTTGAATAGGATAAACTCAAAAGGATTTTCATATTCATCCCCCCGTTGCAATCTCAAATACAGAGAGCAAGATCAGGCAAATCATGATGATGAAACAACACTCACAGAAAATGAGGACCATCCAATTAAGTTTAAAAGCCCCCAAGCTAAATCCAAGCAAGCAATACACAGCCTGTAAGTCATAAATGATTAACATATTAGAGATAAAAACCATTAAAGAGCAAATGATTAGAAAATTACGTTATCAAAAACCAGTAAACAATAAAATGAACCTAAATATACCTAATGAAACCCCTAAACAACCCAACTCTAAGATATATGTAAGCTAGATTTCACTTGGGCTTTTCTCTTTCGTTGGTCTTTTGCGGAGGGGTCAGGGAGCCCAATAAAACTTGAAAAAAACATAGCCCATGATAATGTGCACAAGAGAATAGGAGGAACACCACATCAGGTACATATATGGCGGAAAGTGGAAAGAAATAAGAAAAGAAGCCATTAACAGAAGAAAACTTCAGTTCAGAGGTCATGGACAACAGGGGCAGCGGGCTGTTCATATGAAATATGAATTGAATAGGTGATAAAAACATCTAGAAAAAGAATATGGCTGACAACAATGTCGACTACACTTTAATTCCAAAGACAATATACATCAGGATTGACTCGTTAGCAAGTGTAAAATCAGTAAAGTTCTTTAACAAAATAGACCACGAGATGACAATGACACTCATTTAATTCTCCACAAGATCTAATCATATGCCAACAGAATTCATTTACAGTATCCCCCTAGCTAAATTCTGAGCATGACCACCTTTATCATCCAAGCTATTTACTTCTAAGATACTTCAACATAGGTTTGGAAGAAGAAGCAACTAATATATGGATTTCACTGAAAATCCAGAGATCCAACCAAAGCGACAGCTGGCTTGGTTCAAGAACTGTCATTCAGTTCTACGTGAACATGATTAATTAGTTGTCTCCAACAAAAAAAAATGAAAATGCCATAGAGATGACACTGCTAAAAACAAATTGGAAATGATCTAGCTCACCATCTACTGGTATGGCAAAGGCAGACAGGCAGGCGCGTGGCACTTGGCAAAAGCATGTGTGTAGATCAGTGGGACGGCATGGCTATGACAAGAGCATTGTCATGAGCTGATTATGTGTGAGGCATGGTCCTAAAGACAAGGCAAGGCAGGCTGAACAAAGTGTGGGCGAAGCTGGAACAAGTGTGCAAAATACATGACTGGAAGGAAATGTGTTGTGCAAGTGTCGTGGTACTTTTGCCATGTGCAATGCACATGAGTCAGTTGGCTTGAAGGCTGAAGGTGGAATAATTTCGTGGGAATCATCTTTAGATAGTGGCAAAGTGTTTTACTTGTTTGTAGGCCTTGGCATGTGCCAGGCACACCCCATGTAACTGTCCCTCTTGTAACTGCCATTGACAGCCCCCGTATTTGTATTTCGTTGGCTAAGGCAAGTCGCATATTGTGAGCCTTCCAATGTGATTCCTTTGTATATTCTGCGAGAATAAAAAAGGTTGGGTGTTTTACCCATAATTGTTGTGTGCGCTTTCGTTTACAAGTCTGAAAATATTCCAAGTCCTAAACTGTGAGAGAGAACAATTAAGGCTAAGTGGCTTGACCGCTTGAGTGTCAGGCTGCTGCAGAGATGACACTGCTAAAACCAAATTGGAAATGATCTAGCTCACCATCTACTGGATTTAGACCAGAGAAACCATCACATAGGGGAATGTTCAGAACATCATTCTGTTGGTTTTCCCCAAATATCTAGTTCCAAGCAATTGAAATCCATATTTCCATCACTAAAAGCAAACAAGATCATGTCTTATTTCTATTACCACCGTTCTCCCTAGACAATAACATCCAGTTTAGGGAATGTTCATTACCCTATCCCTAGTACCCGACAGTCGAGTTCTATATTTCCGTCGCTAAAGCAAACAAGATCATGCCCTTACATCTGTTACCAACCTTCTCCCAAGACAATACGTCCAGTATAGGGAACAGTGAATGACTTAGGCTGTTGACATCACTTTCTGAGCTTGTTGGGTAATCATTATCCTATGTAAGTATGCTTTAAATAGGTCCGGATGAAGTATAAAGCAATGTTGTTCACTAGCTGAGTTTTGTCCACAAGAATTTTGGAATACAATAGCATCTACCAAACACATTTTTTTCTATAAGGAGCATCTACCAAGCACACAGCCTATGGATTCGAAAATAAAGAAGATTTGGAAGACAGTAAACAATACCTATCACATTCCTCAGGAATTGATGGTTCAAAATCAGTAGGAATACTAAATACAGCCCAAAATAAATTCAAGTCAGCAATATAAGTCATTGCTTTGACTGGTTGTTTGCCAGATATCATAAGATCAATCTGCAAAATAAACAAAGTGAAATGAAAATTAGAAAATGACAGTAACCTTTTGCAATGTGCATTAAAGAATTCCTTCTAATAGAGATCTAGGGCTCAAAATTAATTCCAATCATGTAAACCTTCACTCAGTAATAAGATTGACATACTTCATGTCCTATGCGTTCTCTGCTAATTTTATCAGCAATAGCAGCCCTCACATCCTCATCAGCAGCTGCCTTCTTTAGTTCTTCATCTAACATAAACCCAAACCTTGCACCTAAATTCACCAAATTATATGGAGACATGATGATGTCTGACGAACAGCACAACAAAGTTTAATCAACAAGGGAAAATGCCACTGGAAAAATAGATGCCCAACCAGCTTTATTGAAACCTAAAGTGATAAAGGGAGATACTGGAAGAAAGAGGAAGAATTTCACATTATATATGACTTGAGCATACTCAAAAGACATGCAGACTCGTAGAATATGCAGCAAATAGACCGGAGAAACTCCCTCCAATCACTAAGAATTGGAATCCTACATTTCGTTGACCAAACTTATCCATGTCACCATGGCTCTAATATATGATCGTGATTTCAATTTTGATAGCGAAGTTCTGGAATGGTTCAACCAAGTTTTACCCCCCCCCCCCCCCCCC